ACTTGCCATCAGTTCAGGAGGTGTATGCCTGGGTGCAGTCAGAAGAAAGCAGAAGAAGTGTGATGAATGGTGTAGAAGGGGAGTCAGTTGCCCTAGCTGTCTGGGGAAATTCAGATACAAATGTCGGAGGTGGTTTTAAAAAGGGTGACACTCAGAAAAAATCAGATGACAAGAGCAAGCTTTGGTGCACTCACTGCCAGAAGACACGACACACGAAAGACACATGTTGGGATCTCCATGGAAAACCTAAATGGGCACAGGATTTGGGTAAGAAGTCAGCACCTGATCAGGGCAAGAAACCAGGCCAGCAAAATAAAAAAAGGTATAACTCAGCTAATATGGCATCGACAGAGACTAGTCCTTCAGTAACTCAGGAGAGACATCCAGTTCCGACCCTAAGGAAGATATTATCAACTCCTTCCGTGAACATTTGGAATTGTTTGGTAGGACTCTCTGCCAGATGGATTATGGCAGAGACTTTTGCTCCAGTAGCCAAGATGAACTCTATCAGGATTCTTCTTTCCTTGGCAACAAATCTTGACTGGGATCTTCACCAATTGGACATCAAAAATGCTTTCTTGAATGGTGACTTGGAAGAGGAAGTGTACATGACTCAACCCCCAGAGTTCTATGCCAAAGGTAATGAACAAAAGGTGTGCAGGTTAAAAAAATCTCTATATGAGTTGAAACAATCACCTCGGGCTTGRTTTAGTAAGTTCCATTTAGCAGTTCAACAGATGGGGTTCAAACAATGCCAGTCGGATTATACTCTATTTGTGAAAAGAGGTGAAGGTAAAATTGCAACTCTTATTGTGTATGTGGATGACATAGTGATCACAGGAGATTGGGAGGCTGAAATCCGGAGATTGAAAAAATTCTTAGCCACTAAATTTGAGGTGAAGGATCTAGGCCCCTTACGATACTTTCTTGGAATTGAAGTTGCCCGCTCTCACAAGGGCATCTTTATTTCCCAACGGAAGTATGTCCTATATCTACTAGAAGATACAGACAAGTTGGGGGTAAAGCCATTTGATTCACCTATTGAACCTAATCACCATCTGGGAGACATTTAGGGAGAGTTTTTGAAAGATGTAAAGATGTTCCAGAGACTCGTGGGGAGACTTTTGTATTTGTCTATGACCAGGCCTGATATTGCCTTTGCAGTGGGTGTCCTTAGTCAATTCATGCACAGCCCTAGGACAACTCACTTTGAGGCTGCAGAGAGGATCTTGAGATATCTCTAGAAGTTTCCTGGAGCTGGTTTGTTGTTTTAGAAACACAGTCACTTAAAAGTGGAAGTATATACTGATGCAGATTGGGCAGGAGCAGTCAATRACCGAAAGTCTACCAGTRGKTRTTGTGCCTTTGTAGGAGGAAACCTTGTCACATGGAGAAGCAAAAAACAAAGAGTGGTGGCTAGATCCAGTGCTGAAGCAGAGTATAGAGCGATGGCTCATGGGGTTGC